CCAAAACCCCAAAACCCCAAAACCCCGTAGTTATTCATATAACACTAAAGTTAAATTATATCAAATAATAAACTTAATATATTTCAAAAGAAATTTATAATTCATTCAATAGCAAAGTTAAATTCTAAAAATCTCTGTGATTAATAGTTTTATATCGCAAATATCGAAATTCATCTCAAAATTAACATCAGCTATTGGTAATTGATTTTCGATTACGTATAAGCTATAGATAATCATCTATGATCTCAGCATCAGGCCCTACTTTTCTTAAGAATAAGCAGCCACCTACCCTGGCAGTTTGAACTAAAGTCTTATCAACTCTCTGATATTGTATGGGTGAGGCTGATGTTGGTGGATCCCATTTTGTATAAGTAACACATTGATGGGTTATCATATTTCGCTAGCCAAGCTTATACAGCATAGTGCCAATGACTGCTTCATCTTAGAAATAAACGTTGGGGGTTCCATATTCTATCTCCTCTAGTAAAAACCTTTTAGCCCTTTCATGCTCCTAAACTAGCATGCCTGTGTGAATCCTGTTTAAAATAAGCCATTAACAGTGCTTAAGAATCTAGTCTTCCCTTGCATACCTCCTCAGATAATTGTAACGTGGAAAGATTCCATCACCACTTTAAGGAATTTCTATCATGGAATTCCCCTGTCTTAAAAGCATTTCATAAAGTTCATTGAATGAATATAGTGGGATGCAAGCTTGGCTGAGAAACACAAATCTCTAGTTGCCCTGATCAACGAATGAGTTGTTCAGTAATGAACTCATAGCAAGCCACAAGCCGATCCCTCCCCATTCCGTTGGAATGGTTTCAATATGTATGTGCTGATTGACACTTCTAAAGTTTAACGAGTCTACATCCTTATTCTTTGAATGGAAATATACAGAATACTTTCTTGCATCAGCATTTTGAAAGAATGTGTCCCAGACTTAAGGGTTATTAACTTTATCAACCACCAGGAACAAAAATGCAATCTTTGGATGCTGTTTTGAATCTTTAATGCCTAATCCTTCACCTGCCTTTACTGCAAGCTAGTTTGAAAGTTAGCAGTCTAGGAAATAACACATATTTTCTATCTTATTGATAGAAACATAACGATTGGCTGAAGAGAAAAGGCAAAATATAAAAATGAACTATATAGCCATTGCTAGATTGAAAAGGGTCCTATTTACAGATTCCATAGTGTTGATAATTAACCTCTTAATTATATATATATAATAACCCATTTAATTAAATTGATCTCTTGTAAACTAATGGTTTTAATTTTAAAATATATTTGATGCTTTACATATTTTCAATTCATGGGGTTTTGGGGTTTTGGGG